TGAAAACACATTCAGACTGTGTTGGACATTAAAAGAAAACGGCACAAAAAGTTTCAAAATACTATAAAATGTAATTATATTACAAATATATATATATATATATATATATATATGTTTGTATATAAGTGTGCACAGATAGAATTTTTATTTTCATGTTTTCTTAAGAGACTCCAAGGTAAAACTGACAAAGCACCCAACTGAAATCAAAAGACTTGGAGTCTAGATGTAGTTCTGCCGTTAATGATCTGTGTGAGTACAAATAAGTTGAGCAAATGAACACAGATAGAGGCCCATGAGTTGAGTCTGTTTATTTATTGATTGAATGATAGTAGATGTACCAGAGTAACAACACTAGGTTTTTCTTTTCCATGGAATTCCTTTTATATTCACCCTCCACTTCATCCTCACAGACCCATGCTTTATGAGATTTAATTTGCTTAATGTATGCATCCATAATTTGTTTTAAATTTTTTATTACTAATTTTAAAGTGTCATCAGCATTCTTAGAAGCAAGGATGATGAGACTGTCTTACAGATTTTGGGGATGTTAGGAGGGCCCTATCCTTGAAGAACTGTCATAATTGGACAAGCAAAAGGTCAGCAAAAAAGAGGAAGGTGGATTAGCATCATGACTGAGACAGGTTTGGGGATGTCAAAAGATCAGGCACAGGACTTAGGCAGCAAGATAGGATTATTTCAGAGTCCAAATGGAGGTCACTATAATAATCTATAAGGAATTCTGGTGACTTACTGGGAAGGAGTTGCACTGCTAACTCAAGGGCATGCAGTTCAAATCCATTAGCTTCTCCATGCGATAAAGATGGGCTGTCTCTTCCCATTCTATTAAATTCCTCGGAAAACCTGCTGGAGAGTCAGCTCTGAGTTGGTGTCAACTTGACAGTACATAAAGACAACAATACTTTGTTTACCCATAGCTTTAATATAGTTGTAACCAGAAGTGAAGTTACAGAGGAGTTAAAAGTAATAAAGTTTAGTATTCCTCTTCAGACTATGATGGAAAGTCAGTTGTATTAGTTAATATTAAAAGAATATGAGTCTCAGTGTCCTATCAATGAAAATCTGCATACTCCAAGTGATTGAGGATTCAGAATTATGCATTCTTCTCTCTTACAGCAAAAGGCAAGAGTATCTGATTCTGTAGAAATCACACCCTATTTCATATTTTGTTGCTGCTCACTCAAGACAGATTCTGTTCTGGTTATTCCTTCTGATATAGCAAAGTGTCAGACTTACAAAGAAAAGAGTCAGAAATTTGGAAATTGTCGAAAATATGCTTGACATATGGAAAAATATTAAATATATAATTAAGGAATAAAGACAGGAATAACATTGGAATATTAAGTTATCAACATTTTATGTGATTGAAATTTGTTCTTTTCCTTGCATCAATTTCTTTTTTCTATAGAGAAACACCCAAACAAAACATTAACCAATTTGCAGTCATCTTCATGAAGATAATACCATGATAATGGACACTTGCATCCTATGGTTCTCAGAAGATTTTAAATTGGAAAAAATATTGAGTGTTTATTGTATCCTATTGTCTGGAATTTTATTAAATTCTGCCTCAGGGTAAAAAAAAAGAATATGAATCTCATCAATAAATATATACATATAGGAAAAATCACACTGTATATGTTAAATTTCTATGTACATAGGGTTGCTATGAGTCACAGCTGAATGGAGGGTACCTAGAAACAGCAATCATAATATCATTAAGCATTTCAAGATAATGTGTTTTCATTAAAAACAAAGGACCTTTATCTTTTACTTGGCTTGCAGAAGGTCATAAATATTTCCCTTAGGTTTCTGTAATGCTACAAAGAGTTTGTAAATCCGATTAGTACCAATAAAGGACACCTGTGAGGTAGGAGGCCCCAAAAAGAGAGCCACATAATTAAATGATCACTGGGTTCTTTCTAGCTTACAAGCTCTATGAGATACCTTGGATAAATGATTGGTAAAGAAAATTAATTTTTACATTTTCTAATTTTCTTAGACTGTTGTCAATCCCGGAGACCAGTCCTACAAGATGGCAACCAGTCGTTGTGTGCGGCTGATATTAATCAGCATGGCCAATGATTTGAAAGAAGTCTGGATCTCACATAACCCTTATTTGTTTATGGCATATTTGGGGCAATATATGCCTACCCTGGCCTGGTGGGTCATGAGCAAGTTTGGGAAGAGAAGGATTGAGAATTTTAAGAGTGGTTTGGTAAGATCAATGTATACATTTCTTAATATTGTGTTATTAGTTTTTTTTTAAAAAAAGCAAACATTCTGTTGTGTGTAGTGTTGCTGTGGGTCAGAGTCAACAACATCTAATAGCAAGGGTTTATGGTGGTTAAATGAGTGAGCCCAGACAGCTGGTGGAATTTTTGTAAAAGAGAAACCTATCTAGAAGGAACACTCATTAGTTATTTACGAGGTAGGATTTTTATTAAGGGACGAAAGAAAAGTTTGCATCCTCTCAAAGGGGAATAACTTGCAAGACCTAGAAAAACAGGGTTGTCTTGTTGAATTCCGGTTTTCATGAGTTTTAATGTCTATGGAAAGCTCTTCAAACAGAACCTAGAACATTATCTTTATTGAATGTTGACTCTTAAGACTTTTTCTTTCTGATTGTGAGTTTGATGACACCACGGCCACTAGAGTAGCAGTCTCACTGTAGCAGTTATGCGATCCCCTAGGTGGCACTAATGGCTAATGTTCACAGAAAGGTTTTAGGTTTGATTACACCAAGAGGTGCCTTGGAAGAAAGGTCTGGGAAACGACTTCTGAAAAAAAATCACCCCTGAAAACCTGAGCAGAGGTTTTCTTAAGGTAGAGTCAGGTTACCCTGAGTTAGACTGACGTGGCAGCAACTAGTTTTATTTGGTGGGAATTAAGAACACTATCTGCATTGAATTTTGTTACCATTGTAACAAAATTTGTTTCCACATATATTTGTTTCTACATACATTTGTTTCCACACATCTTCCCAATGAATTGTCACATCAAAGGAGTTATCAACGTCTCGTTTAAACAACGTACTAAAGGGTAATAAATCACTTGAGAATTGTCCATCTACTATTTCAATTCAAAATACTCTGACCTATTCTTTGTACTTTTATGATAAGTGTAGGTATTATACACTGGTCCAAAAGAGAAAGAAAAGAGACTTTAGCATGAGCAGATAGATGCCAATCAGAATTGTATTGAGTATAAGATAGTATTAATTAAAGATATTAATGCCAAAAATAAATTTTATTCTAATAAGCATTTCAAACTTAGGGAGCTCTGGAGGCCTCGTAGGTAGGAGTTGTGCTACCACTCCAAAGACAGACAGTTCAAATCCACCAGCTACTCCTCAACAGAAAGATAGACAGTCTCCTCCAGTGTGATGATAGAGCCTCTGAAAACACACTGGAGCGCCAGCTCTGAGTTAATTCCCATCCCATGGAAATAAGTATTTTTTGCACTGGATCGTAGTGATATAGCAGCTCTCCCAACAGAAAGGATTCTTGAAATTGTGGTAAACATAAGATGTGATTGATTTGTCTTACTACTACTCCTTTACAGGATGCAGATTCCTCTTATTTTACCGCCATGAAGAAAAAACCTGACTGAAGGAACACTGAGATGGAAAACACTAATCTTCTTATCAACTGACGACTAATTTGTGATGTTATTTTTTTAATAACAGTAACTTGCCTTTCACCATGTAATGAATAATAGAAGACTGCCATAAATCTTACAATAAAGTTATTAATATATACCAAGTTCTTAGCTAAAAACGCATTAAACAACTATCTAGTGTATACGCTAAAAATCTAGGTTAGCAGAATGTTCACTGAAGGATTATGGAAATTCATTCAACATGAATCTTTGGATTATGTCTCACAGGCAGAGTGCTGGGTCATGTGCAGACACAGTTTCTGAAATAATCCTGCTGGCAAGATGCTTATACTCTCTTAGAAGAGTCAATAGGTACACACATGTCTATAATTTGAAGTGATTGGTAATATTCAGAAACCACTATTTTAAGCACCTGCTAAAAAGACATGCTGGGAAAGGTAGAGAATTAGAGAAAAAGAGGAAGACCCTCAACAGGATGGGCTGACACAGTGACTTTAACAATGGCTTTGAGTTTATCTGACATGCGATTGTGCAGCATAGGGCAAGGTTCAGCTCTGTTCACAGAGTTGCAATGAGATATAGTCAACTTAGCAGCACCTAACAACAACATAAGATTGTGCTGTACTGAAGGGCTTTGCAGTAGTTCACTCATTTATTGTCCACATTTACAGATGAAGGAAGAGTGTCAAAGCAAATAGGTGTTACATTCCTATCTTAGGTTGAGTTCTCTAGAGGAACAAAAACAATGAACTTAATACATACATTTCGCTAAGTACCACAGTGACCCTATGAACAACAGATCTGAACCCTGTCCTATCCTGTGCCATTTTCATCATTTCTATTCAAGCTCATTGCTGCAGTCACTGTGTCAATCCATCTGATTGATATTCTTCCTTTATTTCACCTCCCTTCCCACCTTTCCAAGCTTGATGTCTTTTTCCAAAGAATAGCCTTTCCTAGCAACATGCCCAAAGTATGTATGATGCAGCTTTGCCATCTTCACTTCCAAGGAGCATTCTGTCTGCATCTTCTCCAAGAAATGCCTTTTTTTCTTCTTTTTCTTTTGGCAGTCCTGGGGATATTCAATATGCTTAACTCCATAGCACTGAGTCCTGGGGTCTTATTTTTTGCCAGTGCTTTTGGTGTAGCACATAAAAATGATTAAATGAACTGAATAAATTACTATCTCAACACCTCCAGCAAACTGAAAAAGAACAAGCTAATCCCACAGCCTGTAAAGAAAGGAATCTATAAGGGTGAAATCAATGGGATAAAAAAGAGTTGAAACCATCAACAAGATCAGGAACTAATTCTTTGAAAGTATAAATAAAATAGATAAATTACTGGCAAACTTACTGAAAGAAAAGACACAACTCGAATATGAAATGAAAGAGGTGATATAAAGAACCAGCTCAATTGATAACAACAGGATATTATGGAAAGTTATAAACTTTGAAAACCTAGAAGAAATGGACAAATTACTAGACACCCACACCCTAACCAGACTGACACAGACATGCAAAACACTTGAATAGACCCATCATGAAAGAAGAAATTGAACAGGTCATGAGAAGACTCCCCCATAAAAGGTCCTGGGTCAGTCAGATGATGTCACAGTTGAATTTTTCCAAACATTCAGAGATAAACTATGATCAATTTTACTTAAATTATTTTTTAAAATATGAAAAGAAGAAATACTTTTACGAGTTATTCTGTGTTAAGCATAACTCTAATACCCAAACCAGGCAAAGACATTACCAAAAAAAGAAAAGTGTTGACCATTATCTCTCATGAACAATGCAAACATCCTTCACAAAATCCTGGCAAACAGAATCCAACAGTGGGGGGGCAGGGGGACAGGGGCAACGACCCATCATGACCAAGAGGGATTTGTAATAGGCATACAAGGATGGTTCAACATAAGAAAAGCAATCAGTGTAACTCATCACATTGACAAAACAAACAACAAGAACCCATGATCTTACTAATTGATGCAGAAAAAGCCTTTGACAAAATCCAACATTTAAAGAGAAGTTCACTGTGAGGTGGGAAGAGTAGGGAGGAAAATGCAACAGTCAATGAATGGAAATCCAAGTTTTTTTTTAAACTTTCATTAAAATAATCAAGTTTTAAAAACCCACTTAAAATTAGAAGGGAATTTCCTCAACATGGTGAAAAGTATATGCACAACATCACGGCAAAAGACTAAAGGCATTCCCCTTACCAACAGGGAATGGACAAGGATGCCCACCATCACAACTCCTGTCCAATACTGTACTGGAAGTACTTGGTAGGACAATATGACAAGGAAGTAGGAGCCATCCAAATTGGCAGAGGAGGTGGCAAAACTATCACTCGATGCACATGATATGACAGTTTACACAGAAAACCGTAACCTCAACAAAAAACCTGTTAGACCTAGAAGACCAACTTAGTAAAGTGGCAGGAAACAAGATCAATATGCAAAAGCACTACGACATAAAACAGACCCAACTAAATGGAAAAATAGTCTATGTTGATGTATAGGAAGACTCAATATTGTGCAAATTACAATCCTAACAATCTGCATCTTCAATGCAATTTCAAAACATATCCCAACCTAATTATTTAAAGAATTAGAAAAGGTAATTTGCAGTTTTATATGGAAAGGAAAGAGACCTCAAATAAATGTCTTTTGAAAATTAAAAATTAAATAAGAGGCATTCCCTGATCTCAAAACCTTCTACACAGTCAAATATGCATGGTATTTATACAATAACAGTGCCAAAGACCAATATAATACAATCAAGAACTCAGAAATCACCTATCTACTCACAGTTGATTGGTATTTGACAAGGAAACTAAACCTATCCAATGGGGAAACAAACCACCTCTCCAACAAATAGTCCTGGAAAAACTGGGTACCTACCTGTAGAAAACTGAAACAGGATCCACATCTCAAATCATACACAAAAATCAACTCAAGGATGATCAGAGACCAAGAGGTGAAACCCAAAACCATAAAGATCATAAGAGAAAACAGAACCAAACTTGGAAGCCCTAGCCTGTATAGCATAATATGCAACCAGTAGAGCATAAAATTGATGAATGGGACCTTCCAAAAATCAAATTCCAAAAACTTTTTCCAACAGAGTGGAAAGAAAGCCTAGACACTGAGAAAAAATATTTGCAATGATATTTCAGACAAGGGTCTCAATGAAAGTTTGCAGACTACAGACTTAAAAAAAAAAAAAAGAGGCCTGATAATCTAATAAAAGGGGCAAAAGACATGAAATTACTAGTCACAAAGGAAGAAATATGGATGGCAGATATATGAAGAAATGTTCAGAATCACTGGCCACTGGAGATGCAAATCAAAACAATAATGAAGATACCATCTCACTCCAGTGGCAATAGTTTAACAATCAATGCAAACAATAAATGATGGAGAAAATGTGGAAAGAACTCTCCTGCACTGCTGGTAGGACTGAAAAATGGTATAACCACTCTAGAAGGAAGTTTGGTGTTTCCTCAACAAGCTGAACAGAAAGATAAAAAAAAAAAGCTAAACAAATCCCATAAGACCCAGATTTTTCACTGTTAAAAATATATCACAAGGAAGTTAGAACTGAAAGACTAATGGAGATATGTATACCTACGTTCATAGCAACATTATTTTTAATAGCAAGAAAATGGAAACAGCCCATCTATAAGAAGTTGTCGCACTTCCAACCCAAAGACAAGTCCACAGTGTGTTTTACTGTCTCTGAAAACTTGCTGGAGGGTCTGCCATGAATCACTTCCTACTTAACAGTACACAACAACATATATGGTGGTATAAGATGGACAATCTCCTCCAGTGCCATTTAGAGCCTTAGAAATCCTGCTAGAGGGTCAGGTACGACTTGGAACTGTTTGACAGCAATGAGAGAAACATGGTATAACATTATATACCTGACAGCACAATTTCTTTGTATGCAAGACATCAGACACAGGTGTTGCATGCAGCAAGTGGTGGTGTTCACTACCAGTACTGAGATAAGGATTTCTAAGCTATAACCTTATCGAGAACTCTCACAGTTTGAATCCACCAGTTGCTCTGCATGAGAAGGAAGGACAATCGCTTCCCATGTGATTTACTGCTTCTGAAAACCTGTTAGAAGGTCAGCTCTGAGCTGGATATGACTTTATGGCACACAACAACAACAGGGAACTCGAGTGGCATAGATGTAAGGATTTGCAATCCAGAGGTAGTATGAATCTCACAGCAGCTCGGGGTGTGTGTTGGGTGGGGGGGCGGGGGAGAAGGGCAGTCTTCCCATGAGATTTACAGCCTTAAACCCTTCTGGAGGATTTTTGAGTCAGTTTTGACTAGAGAACAATGAGTTTTTATTAGAACATTATGGAGTAGTGGGTATAAGCAAGCAGTTGGACGCCCAAATGGATGTTATGTGATAGACGGTTCTACATCAATTAGATTCCATTTGTTGACTGTGTTCAGATCTTGCAGAATGGCGCTGGACAGGGCAAGGTTTCTAATTACTGTCCACAGCCTTGCTATGGTTTGCTATCATTTAGATGGCACCTAATGACAACGGATCTGTCGGTTGCCAGATTGAGATGCTTAACTTCCCATCTATATAGCTTCAGATTTGTTTTTCTTCTGAATTCTTCAATTTTTGCTTCATGTACTTTGAGGCTTTGCTGTTTGGTGCATTAAAATTAAAAATCATTAACAATACCTTTCACAATAGCTAATCACAAGATTAAATACTTGGGAATAAACTTAACCAGAAGTACAAAGGACCTTTTCCAAGAAAATTACAAAACATTACTACAAGAAACAAAAAGAGATCTTGAAAAGTGGAAGAATATCCCTTG